GGGGCTGCTCAGGGCTCTGCCACCCCTTCTCTCCTCTCCCGCACCGCGAAGTGATTTGTAGCTTCCTCGCAGTTTCTGGTGTCCCGAAAGTCTGCCTGCAGATAGGTTTTGTGCTTTTTTTTTTCCGTTGTAAATGCTTAGTAGTGAATTGCTTAGTAGCGAGTTTTAGTTCCTGGATCAGGAGTGTGGTCATTATGGGATCCTAGTAATAGCCTTGGAAGTGAGAGTTTTATGTGCTGGATCTGAAAGTGTAATTCACACCTATTACTCTAAACAGAGCCAAAGGCTGCCCCATCTCCCCACGTAGTGCCCTGGAATCTTAGATTTGAAATGGCACAGATAGTGTTTCTGGCTTTTTTTTTTTTTTTTCTTGTTTTGCTTCTCTGCAGCACAACTGTGTGCCAGTTGTTTTTCCTATGTCTGTTTCTTTTTGTTCCTTTCTATGCACTATGCTGGTATCCTTTGTTTTATTTGCGTATCTCACTCTCCTGCCAAATTCTGTCTTTTGCCCACGCGTGCGCACTGTGGCATTTGGCAGGGGAGCTGAAACTTCACTGGACACCTGGAAGCTCAGGGAACACAAGAGGCTTTTCTGAGACAGTGTGCGGTGTGGGCTTTTCTTGTTCCTGCCATGGCAGGAGAAGGAAAATGTTAAAATTTCTATGTTGCAAAGGAGGAAAAAAGGTTGGGGTAATTCTTTTGTAAGGGAATCCAGTTTTTATCTTTTTTTCTACATAGTACAACTTTTAGATTTCATGCTTGTTTGATAGAAGGAAGACAAACATTCTCCTATTTCATTTTTTTTTTTTTTTTTTTCTGTAGCTGGTGCAGTGGGAATAGACAGGTTCTTCAATACCTTTTCTTGCTGTGTCCTGGCTGGAGACTAGGGAAGATAAAATATTCTGATTCTTCATATTTTCTTTGTGCACAAGGCTCTGAGTTAGTGTCAGGGAAACTAATGACAGTGGTTAAGTTTGGCATGCAACACTGTGGAAGCTGCATACAGAACCTGCTCTGGTTAATGCAGCTTAGGTTTGGAAAACTGCTTTTTAAAGTTGAAGGGCTAGCAAAAACCTTAGTTGTTTCAAGCAGCGATCATCCAGAATAGATTCTTGTGACTCTTTTTTGTATGGGTATTTATGTTCTTAATGAGTTAGCAATGTATATATCTTCAAACTATGCTTTGGAGAAGGGCCGTTTTTAATAACGGAGCAAAAAAAACTCTTCTGTCTGAAAGTGACATTAATTTGTTCTTTGGTGTGTTCTGGGGAAAATTGTCTCATTTATTTTGGTAGTAGTATTACTTTATTGGGTATGGGTTTTGAGGTTCATAAAGTAAATACATAATGACTATCATTAAATGTAGCCTGGGCAGCTGCTGTTCAAAAGTCAGTCGTAGTGTGTGTGTAAAGAAATCTCTGCTGACAGTACAAAGTTGTTGGAGCAAGGATGCTCTCCTCCTCCCCTCTCTTCTGGACAGCAGGGTGGTCTTTGGAATACTATTATGCTACGTTTCTTGTTTCTCAGTGTGACTGGAAATAGTACTGTCACTTCCTCTGAGTTGACCTCTCATGCCTTGTTTTTGAGTTGATTTTTTGTTTTTCTCTCCTCACTCCTGCTATCTTTGTGTAGCGTATGTTACCTTGCCTTTTATTATTATACTGTGTTTTAACTCTACCTCCTTCGACCCTTAATTCTGGATTCGCAACTTAGCTTATTTTCTGCTTTACAGGTTCCTCTGATTTATTAAGTAGCTGTTTGTAAAAAGAGATTGTTTTTTAACTTTGAATGTTCTATGTCGGTTGCTTTTCTTGTTAACTCAGTGTTGCTTTTGCTCTTCTGAATGGTGGCCAGGCTCCTTGATTGTTTACTATTTCCTGTATAAATATCAATAACTAAGCAATGTATCGCTACCTCTAGTATTTTTTTTTTCCATAACTTGGTCCCTATCTATAGTATGTATTTATACTTCTGTTTTTACTACTAGCATATATTTTGTGTGTGTGTGTGAAGCCTACTAATAGCAATGTTGAGGTGAGGAATCAGACAGCCGTAATTATCTGTTGCAGTTATTCCCTTCACACAGCCTGGGCATGTCTTCCTCTTCCCATTTCTGTACAGCAGATTTTATTCAGTTCTGCTGGAACAAACGGGGCACTTCTGTTACTGATTTCAGTGGGAGCTGGGTCAGGCTTTAATTATGCAACTTTCCAAAAGTTGCTCTTGGGAAGTGAGATTGCTTATGCGTGAGTGGGATTGCAGTGCCTTCATTTGCCTGTTTTAGGTTGTTTGTTTGAAAATACATATTTCTGTAGTCTTGGGTAAAACTCTGAACTTGGGTCTGTAGGCTCCTTCTAAGGACT